TCTCACAAAGCTCTCCGTACAGTTTCTACCGCCGATTCGCGTCTACAAAGACATCCATCTTGTCGTTCTTCCTGGTTCTGGAGAAAGACTGTTCGGTGTTAAAGATGCCACCTCGAATGTACTCTCATGGACAAAACTTAAGGAATTTGTACCTTTCAGCATGTATATCGGGATTGAGACAATAACTCTGAAAGATATTACAGTGACCTTTATTGAAGACACACGAGATAACCAATATACACTCATGGACAAAACTTAAGGAAGTTGTACCTTTCAGCATGTATATCGGGATTGAGACAATAACTCTGAAAGATATTACAGTGACCTTTATTGAAGACACACGAGATAACCAATATACACTCATGGACAAAACTTAAGGAAGTTGTACCTTTCAGCATGTATATCGGGATTCAGACAATAACTCTGAAAGATATTACAGTGACCTTTATTGAAGACATACGAGATAAGCAATATACACTCATGGACAAAACTTAAGGAAGTTGTACCTTTCAGCATGTATATCGGGATTGAGACAATAACTCTGAAAGATATTACAGTGACCTTTATTGAAGACATACGAGATAACCAATATACACTCATGGACAAAACTTAAGGAAGTTGTACCTTTCAGCATGTATATCGGGATTGAGACAATAACTCTGAAAGATATTACAGTGACCTTTATTGAAGACATACGAGATAACCAATATACACTCATGGACAAAACTTAAGGAAGTTGTACCTTTCAGCATGTATATCGGGATTGAGACAATAACTCTGAAAGATATTACAGTGACCTTTATTGAAGACACACGAGATAACCAATATACACTCATGGACAAAACTTAAGGAAGTTGTACCTTTCAGCATGTATATCGGGATTGAGACAATAACTCTGAAAGATATTATAGTGACCTTTATTGAAGACACATGAGATAACCAAGTGTGAACAAATTTGCCTGTCTCCTTGAAAAAAAAAAAAAAAAAGACGACCGACGACTTCAAAGACTTTTTACTTAAGTTTTGTCCATAAGTGTACGTATACAATTGTAAATAGTCGTGGGTATAGTGTTTTTCCTTAACATATACACTTATGAACAAAACTTAAGGAAGTGGAAAGTCTTTGATGTCGCCGATCGTGTTTTTTAAGGAGACAGAAGCAATTTTGTTCACACTTGGTTATTTCGAGTGTCTTCAATAAATAAAGGTCACTGAAATTTATTTCAAAGTTATTGTCTCAATCCCGATATACCTGCTGAAAGGTACAACTTCCTTAAGTCTTGTCCACGAGTGTATATTTCTTAACTCTACGTGTATGAATTTCTATTGACTGAAGTCACTAAAATTGTTTTAAAACATACAATCTAAAACCGATTACAGTTGTGTCTCCCTGCCCTAGCTAGGTCTGGGTGTTTGGTCACCAAGATATACTCTTTTAATCTCCGTGCTCTTCTCTCGTTCTCTTACTGGGAAAAAAACGTCGGATATAAAACGTGTGCATCTAAGACGTCCTGTTATAACACGGAATGGAGTCCACGGCGTGTCGACGACCCAGATCGGGGCTTCAATTAATCTCCTCCCAGCGTGGGCGGTGGACCCGCCGCTCCACATCCCGGCGGACAAAGGAAGACCCAGTTGGCTAGAACATGGAACCCTGCGTTTCCTATGAAATCATCTCTCTCAGTCCTGGAAACAACGAATCAAAGTGTCTCTCACTAACTCTGAAGAAGAAGAAAGCTAAAGAGATAGATCAATTACGATGAACTAGCGCGCCATCTGTTATCAAATTACGAAACTATTTTAGACGCGTAATATTCTTTTTTTTTTTAATAAAACAATTTCTACTGTCCTTACTGCAATGATGAGCCAGGCCCTCCCTTTAATTTTTCCATTGCAGTAAGGGCAGTAGAAATTGTTTTCACAATTCGATAAATAAATAAACAGAAGAATAGATATTCCGGAAATTTATAACATTATATTCCCTGAGCCCAGCCCATAACCCCAAAGTGAAGCACGTGCAACAGAATCCCGCGTTGATCATGCCTTAAGACAAATGTAAACAGTGAATGGACTTTATTTAATTTTAAATCATATTTTATTGGCGTATTAATCATATAAAGCATTTTCTCCCGTAGAAGGGCTTACTTGCCCGAAAGCTCGAGATATTTTTTAAATAAAAACTATTTTTAAAAGAAACTTTTCCCTGGAGGCTTTATGTTTTTATTTAAAAAAAGAATATTACCCGTCTAAAATAGTTTCGCAATTTGATAATTAGATAGACCAATATTTGTGTCGTCTCCAGACAACACCTCCAATTATAACCCAGTCAATCTCGACAAGGGCAGACTTAGTACCGGAGTAATGACTGGGTCCATTCAGTAGAAGAAGTAGATACACAAGTCGAAGAACTTCTTTATCAAATAGGACTTTTGATGAAATAAGAATTTGGCGAAACCGTTGAGAGGGTTCACTACTGATGAGCCAAGCCCTCTCATTCAATAACTCATATCATTGCAGTAAGGTCTGTAGAGACAATATTTGATGATATTCGAAAGAAACGCATTGCCAGTAAATTTGTGTAAAATTTTAACGATAGATGGCAATTAAATTTAATTTACTTTTGTTTATTCTTCCGTAGCTAAGAGGGATATTACCGTTGTCTTAATTCGCTAGAAGTAGAATGAAAGATCGAATTGTACTCACAAAGGAACAACAGTCTTTGATTTCCATACTTAAGTCTGTTCATCTATGAACAATGACTTCCCAGAATAGTTGTAAGGTTTTCCCACTATGTACTAAATGTTATTCTCAACCTGTAACAACCCAAAACCATATCAATTACTGTATTGGCTCATCCCTTAATGAGTTCTACCCATCCCCAGCACACTGCATCAAAAATCTCAAGCTGTAAAGACTTGATACTCTGATATGATTGAGTGGAGATAAGAAAGAGAGAAGAGTAAAAGATGGACTAAGGCAGTTTGAAGGCAATGTTAGAATGATGTCAGAGAAGATCCGGTGTAAGATGGAGATCAAGAAAAGTTCAGGAATATGTAAGTAAGGCTGAGCGCGAACAAACAAATTTCCGTCCTATCGAACGATGGCTGTTAATGAAAAACAAACATTAATTAAACCAATGGGGCGTTTCTTTGTTGACGTCGCTTGTTGTCGCTCTATTAGTTGGAGGGTGTCCGGGATGGTCGGTCAATCTGCCACCACGGGGATACCGCTGAGCTCAAGTTGGAATTGTCTTTGTTGTGTTGGAGTTCCACATACACAGCCGGGACAGTTGTGGAGGAGATATCGGCACAGTGATCTGTCCTGATCCACAGCCGGGACAGTTGTAAAGGAGATATCGGCACAACATTGATCTGTCCTGATCCACAGCCGGGACATCTGTGGAGGAGATATCGGCATAACATTGATCTGTCCTGATCCACAGCCGGGACAGTTGTGGAGATATCGGCACAACAGAGATCTGTCCTGATCCACAGCCGGGACAGCTGTGGAGGAGATATCGGCACAGCGATCTGTCCTGATCCACAGCCGGGACAGTTATGGAGGAGACATCGGCACAGCGATCTGTCCTGATCCACAGCCGGACAGTTGTGGAGGAGATATCGGCACAGTGATCTGTCCTGATCCACAGCTGGGACAGTTGTGGAGGAGATATCGGCACAGTGAACTGTCCTGATCCACAGCCGGGACAGCTGTGGAGGAGATATCGGCACAGTGATCTGTCCTGATCCACAGCTGGGACAGTTGTGGAGGAGATATCGGCACAGTGATCTGTCCTGATCCACAGCCGGGACAGCTGTGGAGGAGATATCGGCACAGTGATCTGTCCTGATCCACAGCCGGGACAGCTGTGGAGGAGATATCGGCACAGTGATCTGTCCTGATCCACAGCCGGAACAGTTGTGGAGGAGATTCGGCACAGTGATCTGTCCTGATCCACAGCCGGGACAGTTGTGGAGTAGATATCGGCACAGTGATCTGTCCTGATCCACAGCCGGGACAGTTGTGGAGGAGATATCGGAACCGTGATCTGTCCTGATCCACAGCAGGGACAGCTGTGGAGGAGATATCGGCGCAGTGATCTGTCCTGATCCACAGCCGGGACAGGTGTGGAGGAGATATCGGCACAGTGATCTGTCCTGATCCACAGCCGGGACAGCTGTTGAGGAGATATCGGAACAGCATCGATCGACTCTTGATCCCCATTTGGCGTGCGAGGCGTCCAGCCATAATCCAATAAAACATTCAGACCACATACTTAAGAGAACTACGTGGAAAATGACCCTAAAATTGGCCACACTCCCTGTACCTCCACTACTGGGACCTTTCAATTCTCAGGCACACCATACGTCACATCAATGGATGACATTTCAATTTTATATATATTCCCTCCCATCATCTACAATCGTTAAGTGGCATTTTTCCTCCTTCAGTATCCACACCATGTCGGTAGGAGACAACATTCCCCTGTGGAGGGGACTCATATCTCCAACATACCACGTGCAGCTTCCGCTACCCTGAAAGTGATGCATATTTCCAATATGGTCAACGTAATCTTGCTAGACTCCGAAAAAACATTTAAAAGATTAGTTAAGCTTAGAAAAATATTCCAATGCGTTTTTTAAATATAAATATTTCTATCCTGTAGTTATTGTAGCACATGATGATTGGTATGCTGGAAACCTCATTGATTACCATAAATGATGGTGGTGTCTTGTTAATGGAGCAGATCAGATCGGTCCATGCACCCTGATCACACCTGCCCAGAAGTCCTACAATACGTGGAGGGAGAGAGAATCAGCACAAGTAAGAGACTGCCCTGTAGGGAGAAGTACGGGGTAGAACGACATTTGAAAATTATCCCGCATGTGTTTCTTCTGAATGAAAAATCGAAATTTATTTTAAGGAGAAATAACGATTATTTCTAACCTTAGAGATGAAGGATGAATTGTGAAGAGTAATAATAAACGGAAAAATAAAAGTGTCCAGGGATGGGAAGCGAACCCACAGTGTTCCGTTTACCGGGCAGATGCCATGTCCACTAGACTACGCTGGGCATATTTCTCTGTTCGTAAATATTATATAAAGTTGGTGTCGTGAGCCCCGAGCCGCTACGGTAACCGTGAACAGGGAATTCTGAAATGTGGCTGACTAACGGGGCAATGGCACACCCTCCTTCCATGGAGCAACAACCATATATAATGACAGATAAAAAACACCAAATAACCATATTGCATATTGCACTGTTCGCAGTGTGGTCTATCACTTGGTCACAGAAGGTATAAACAGTTCTTCTGGGATAGTTTTATTGTCAACTCTTTCTTTCTCTGAATGCCTGCTAGTGGTCTGGTAGTGTTCTATGGGGTAATGGTTAGACAAGAAATTTTGGGATGTCATACTAAGGCAGAATGCACTGTAATAGAGGTAGACAACATGTAAAGTTTGGTGAGGTCAGGGAACTGTGTCTAAGTGAGTACAGCTCTCGTAACTGTGTTATCGGGATTGGTGGCTTGCGAGCAAATTTCTGTCTTCAGTGAAGTTTGTGGAACTTCAAGACAATATGCAAAATTGCCAGGAAAGATATATTGAAGTGAGGCGAGCACTCACCTGCCCAGCTGCCCCCGACACCGCAGAGAAGCAGCGCCAGGATCGCTGCCTCCAGCCTCGCCGAGCGCATAGCGCCGACTGCCCCCGCGCGCCGCCAGGCGGAGCTGCCATCGACCGCCTGCCAGGCAGACCCAGAGGTAAAAACACACAGAAAAATCAACAATAAAAAGAAAGTCAACGGCCGAGACAAAGCTCAGCTGTCGAGAATAAAACCGTCCATCTTTCTTTCTGGATCCTGGAAAAATGGTATTTTGGACATAAGTACGTGATTTGAAGTCGTGAGACATATTCGTCTTTTCCGAAAGGTAAACTAAACGTTTAATTGTGGCTTTGACTATAAATATTCTCTTGAGAATGGAACATTTGGGTCTCTGTACTATAGGATCAGAGAACGGAATGATGAACTCATAGCGATTTATTTGTCCAAACTTCAGCAAATTACAAGTTTCCTTAGTTTCGTTAAAACGCATTTTAATCAAGAATAAACCTTTAAATACAGACTATATGAACCGAATGAACAATACAACAACAACAACAAAAAGCCTTTATTTAGGGTCACTGACCCTATACAGGATTCACCAGAGGTATGCATAAGAACAAAGCAGTGAGACAAAGGAAACAACGATATAGACAGAAGAAAAAGGAAAAAAAATGAGAAAGAGGGAAGCAAGAAAAACAACACAAAAAGAGTAGCAGTAAGAAAGTGAGGAGTGAGTGTCACTTGGCCTTCTTCTTCTGAGATATGGACTTGTGGAAACCATAAAACGCCGTAGCAATATACTTATTCTGGGTCATATTGTCAATTATTGATGGAAGTGAAGCACAGAGTTGCCCAGTTTTTAGCATAAGGGTTCTTCTTTCAGAGCAGAGCAATCAAAAATATAGTGAGTGATTTCATTTTTTATAGTTTTGGAATTAACAATACAATAGATTGATATAAAGCAATAACACGCTATCTATATATATATGAGAGGAAAGCGTTCAAGCATGAATGTTTCTTTTCCACACAAATCAAACTTCCATCACAGTAAGGACAGTAGAAGTTTGATTTGTGTGAGAAATAAACATCTGTGTGTGTGCTTGAATGCTTTTATCTCTTATACAATAGCTGTAGGTTAGATTTGGTAGATTAAATTGACGAAATCACTGGGAAGGTACACCACTGATGAGCCAAGCTTTCCCGATTTTTTCACCTTCACTAAATGTAGAGGGGGGTCGGTGGAAGGATAGTCTAAACCGTTAGTTTTCGACCGCTACGACCCGGGTTCAATTCCGGCATTGGGCACTTTTTTTTCTGATAAAAAAATGCTCCAATGGCCCCCGATTTTTGCAAAAATGCAAGTAACCAAACGGGGCTATGGCACATTTGTAAGTGCAAAGTCGAACTGCTTTTCACGTGTGTAGACATGTGGTGTACTTACAGTAAAAGCAGTCGCTAACTACCCACCATGATTATCATGGCCTGTACCACGTGTATTAGGGATAAGCAAAATAATTGTAGAAATGCGTCCATTTGTGTGAAAATAGTGTAGAATATTTCTACCTCTCAGCCTACAGAGGGCGCTCTTGTTTACCCGCTTCAATACCGATATTCGCTGTTGAAGACAATTGACAATTCTAAATATTTTATTGACACTTATATAACAAAACCAATCCAATACAATAGTAGAGCGGTCTGGAGAGTAATTTGGTGAAACCGCTGAAAGGGTTCACCACTGTTGAGCCCAAACCCTCTCATTCAATAACTTATATCATTACAGTAAGGTCTGTAGAGATAATATTTGATGATATTATCAAAAAGAGACACATTGCCAGTAAATATATTTGTTACACCCTCTCATTCAATAACTTATATCATTACAGTAAGGTCTGTAGAGATAATATTTGATGATATTATCAAAAAGAGACACATTGCCAGTAAATATATTTGTTACACCCTCTCATTCAATAACTTATATCATTGCAGTAAGGTCTGTAGAGATAATATTTGATTATATTATTGAAAAGAAACATATTGCCAGTATATTTATTGGTTACACCCTCTCATTCAATAACTTATATCATTACAGTAAGGTCTGTAGAGATAATATTTGATGATATTAGAGAAAAGAAACATATTGCCAGTATAAATTTGTTAAGAATTTTATCGATAGATGGCAATTAAAATTATAAAAGTATAGTTTACACTTAGATAATTTGAAAAAATAGTACAAATGTGATATTGTACTGGGATAAGGTACAGAAATTATGAAAAAGGCATCTCCTTATCGTGCAACTGAAAGTTGCTGATGGCAAGATTGGTACGTGGTTGTTAAGTTTTTATGTTAAGGATTTGTTTGCCCGTTGGTCCTATATTGAAGATTTAATTTTATTATTTGTTGACGTATCAATTTGCATAGTGTTTTTAAACTCTCCTATTTACATTTGTATGATGAATAATCAGTGATGATGTTACTTATTTACATTATGGAATTAAAAATATTTATATTAACTTCATGAATACATAACAGTTTTTAGATTTTCTTGATTAATCAAGAATGGGTATTTGGCCAATTCTGTAATAATTAAAAATCAACGAATAGTTGATATTTTATTCCGATAGATGGCGCCAGCCATCAGCAACTTTCAGTTGCACGATAAGAATATCCCTTTTTTTTCCTTTCGTTATTTAGTTAATGGTTACAATAACTAATGAGAAAAAATGATCGCTGTTGAGGATCCTATTCAAACCAAACTCCTCGTTAGTTCCCGTCGACCAGCTATTTGGCCGGCCGTCTGGCGAGCAGAGTCAGCGGAACTGATTGAGACCGGGGATTAGCCGTTCCCTTGAGTCCAAGCCCCGCTATTTGACTCCTGTTGTTCCCATCAAATATCCGCCCGAGTCATTATATACCTTAACTAAACAACATTGGGGAGTTGAACGGTTAGTAAAATTATATTATATCACACTATACAGTTGTGTACAGTGACTGATTGTGTCCCACTTAATATGATTTTTTAAATTTTATTTCAATTTAAAGCTCTATGTCCCCCTAGGGACACTTACGCTGTCATACATATATGACATTTGTCTATACATATATATACAATAATTTTTGGCCGTGAATAGAATAGTCATATGATGTTAACAATGAGAAAGAGAGGGAAAAATGAGAAAAATAACTGTGTACAAAATAAAGAAATGTCTGGCAATATGTAGAATCAGCATAATATAAATTATCAGTTTCATAAAATATATTTGTTGCTATATAAATCAAAATATATCTACAAAAGGTATTGAATTTAATATACATTTTTTTACTGGAAATAAAAATGATTATAAAAGCAAACGAGGGGGTCGGTGGAAGTGTGATTTAAACCGTTGGTTTACTACCTCTACGACCCGGGATTGAATTCCGCATTGCGAACTTTTTTCCTAATTAAAAAAAATCTCTGATGGCCCTCGATTCTTGCAAAAGTTCAACCCCACCAGCGAGTGCAACAATTTCCTGGCATATAAATGTAGAAAGAAGGACAGTAATATCTACGCGCGTAGAAAGGCTTCACGGATGTAAAAATGAGTGTCTTAAAATAATCTAAAAGTAAACATTGGGTTTAATTTCCTTTGGTAATAATCAGCATGGTTGTTCAGAGCTGGTATAGCGGTGGAGCGAAGGCTGGCTTGAAGCCGCTAGTCATAGTTAGGGAAGGTGTAATGGCGCTAGCTGAGATCTGGAGGATGTTTCTATCATTATGTTCTCTTTTCGAGGACCACGCCATCTCCTCAGCGGCGAAAAAAGCGATCTACGTTTTCTTCGTAGATCACCAAATACGTGGTGTCGCTGGAGACCCGCTGGTGATACTCCACCAAACTCTGCAGCGCTGGTAGAGGCGCCATATTCATTGTACATAGTGTATATAATCCATATTATCTTTTTTAAATAGTACAGACTGTGTACTTTGCATGTATTGACAAGATGTCAATAAAATTATTTGTCAAATTATCTTTATTTAACGTCGCTTCCATGGCCACAGCTCTCCTCCCATGGCGCATTGTGACACTACTGACGAACTATAAGTTATCCATTTAATACATCGAGTGTTTACAAGATCAACAATTCGCTATGTGGATTAACCAAATAAATGGTTCTCATGATAATCATTATCAAATATTGTCTTTACAGACTTAACTGCATTGATTGTAATTATAATATATGTATAATAATTAATTAGATAAGAGGGCGGCTCAGTGATGAACCCTCTCAGCGGTTTCGTCTAATTAATCTCCAGACCGCTATTGTATTGGATTGCTTTTCTTATATACCCTGGATTTACTAATGAAGGCAGCTTAGAAGTGTTTATGGAATCTATGGATATATGCTTATAGGACTACACAAAGTTGCATACATACAATTTAAAAAACAAATACATGGTATATGTAAATATTGTCTCACACGTCATAGAATTGTCA